AATAAAAATGTATTATTTAATTGGCTGATTGTTTATTTAATTAAAGTTTATTTTTGAGAGTCCGACAGGAGTTAAAATGGCTATATTTGTGATGAGAAACGTGGAAAACATAATTAAACAAACAAACAAATAAATAAATAAAAGTTTATTTTTGACAAAAAGCTAAGTCTGGTCTCACTTAATTACATTTTTTTTCATAAGAATCAACCAAGAAGTATTATAGATTCCTAGAGGAGTTAAAACCATCGCAGTCCATCAAAATATGCTTCAGAGATAACGGATATATTGATTATTGGAGAGATAACGGCTGTTTGTTTACGTGTGCGCTGATGATCTGTATCTCTGGCAGGAAGCTCAAATAAACAATTAGGAAAGATGGTTTCGCTTTACTGCAGACGGATCCACAGTGGGGCGTGGCTACACTGCTGCCATGGAAACCAAAGCATTATGCAAATCGGTCGGTATCTACAGGCAACCAAAGCAAAAGGCCCCGCCCACAGCAGTGAACATGTGACCTGTGAGCATCCGCCGGACTCTGATGAGAGCAGCATGTGTTTGATCATGTGTAAAATCAGAAAAAACATACAATAAAATACACCTTAACACGAAAAGTCAAAGATAAAATAAAATACAATTTTAAATAAATAAATAAATATATAAAATGAAATTTATAGATAAAATAAATAAAATAATGTACAAAAAAATTATTATTTTAGCCTGTTCCCAAGGCAACATTTTTCACTTTCGTTTAGTTTAACTTTAGGTACTGATATAACTAAAACTAAATAAACCAAAACTATTGAATTAAATTAATAAAAACTGTATCAACTTCAGAAAAACGAATAAAACTGCCAAAAACACAACAAAAGTTTTACTAAAAGTGAAAAAAGTGAATCTAAAAAAAATTCAATCTAATTCTAAATATTAACAAAAAATATAAAAATATATGAATGACAGTAAAAAAAAAAAAAAGAAAGAAACACTGCATAGAGTAATTATTTTGCACTATCATTCAAAATTTTGGGGTTGGTAAGATTTGAATGTTTCTGAAAGAGTCTCTTCTGCTCAACAGGGCTGCATTTATTTGATCAAAAATACAGTAAAAATACTGATATATTATCAGAATCTAAAACAGCTGTTTTCTGTGTGAATATGTGTTAAACTGTAATTTATTTCTGTGATGCACAGCTGTATTTTCAGCATCATTACTCCAGTCTTCAGTGTCACATGATCTTCAGAAATCAGTATAATATGCTGACTTGCTGCTCAAGAAACATTTCTGATTATTATCAATGTTGAAAACAGTCGTGCTTAACGATATTTCTGTGGAAACTGTGATGCATTTTATTTTTCAGGATTCACAGATGAACAGAAAGTTCAGAAGAACAGCATTTATTTGGCATAGAAGTCTTTTATAACATTATAAATGTCTGCACTGGCACTAATTTTTTTAACTTTGAGTGTTTCTGAACTCTTTTGTACCTGAGTGCTGGTCTCAGTGATGGCGATGAGTAGCTTCTCGACGGCGCTCTGCAGTCGTGTGCTGATGCTCAGCAGAAGCTCCTCCCTCTCCGGCAGGAGCTCCGCCCCCTGCAGCTGTAGCTCCGCCCCCTGGATCTTCAGCAAGAGCTCCAGCCCTCCGTCGCTCTCGGTCTCTGCTGAAAACAGGCTGAGGTCATCAGCAGCCGTCTCTCTGCTGAGAAAGCTCTCCGAGGACGCGTCTGTGTGCGGGACACAAGAGATGAGCCACATCAAAACAGCTTATTCCTATCAGAACTGCAGAAACCAGCAGGCCTTTATAACGTAACCCAACACTATAAAGCTTTAACCCGGTCGAGCATGTGATGTTTTTCAGAATAACACAGGACAGAGATATAACGGATTGAGATTTAATGAACTACAGATGAATGGATGCAGTGACAAAGGCATAGAGGAGACATGAATGGGTCTTTTGTGTGTTTTGGGTGTTGAGTTACAGGAGCATCCGTCTCATATTCAACCTGAGTGCATCACACCATATGAGACGATAAAGTAGATTTCATTTCAGGGTTATTATAGTTATTATGGTTTTTATAGAACACTAAAACTAAAGCAGAAACTGAAACCATAAAAAAAAAATATATAAATAAATTGTTACTTTAAATATACTTTTATATATGTTTAAAAAAAAATAAAGCTACTAAAAATGACAAAAACACACAGCAAAATTATTAAAACTTTAACTAAAATTACAGTAAATAATAATAAATATATAACGTATATAATAAAAACTGATTCAAAATCATCAAAAAACTATAGTAGTACCTCAATGACACTAAAAACACACAACAAAATTACTAAAAATACAAAAAACAATAATAAATATTATTTATAAATAATATGAAATATAAAATAAAAACCAATTCAAAATATTAATAAAAATCATTATAGTACTTCGATGACACTAAAAACACACAACAAAATTACTACAATTACAAAAAATAATAATAAATAATATGAAATATAAAATAAAAACCAATTCAAAATATTAATAAAAATCATTATAGTACTTCGATGACACTAAAAACACACAACAAAATTACTAAAATTACAAAAAATAATAATAAATATTATTTATAAATAATAAATATGAAATATAAAATAAAAACCAATTCAAAATATTAATAAAAATAACACAAAATAACTAAAACTAACTAAAATAAAAAAAAAACAATAATAAGTATTTATAAATAAATAAATAATAAAAAATAAAATAAAAATCATAGTACGTCAATGATGCTAAATGACACTAAAAACACACAACAAAATTACTGAAATTACAAAAAAATAATAATAAATATTATTTATAAATAATAAATAAAGACATAAAATAAAAAACAAATAAAAATAATAATAAAAATCATAATAGTACCTCAATGACACTAAAAACACACAACAAAAAATGTAAATAAATAATAAGTATCATTAATAAATAATAAAATATAAAATACAAACTACATTTTTAACATTAATAAAAACTATAATAGCACTGTTTGGCATCAGTGAACACACCCAAACGCATTAAACCGTCATCTGTTATTAACTCAACACACACAGGATGTCACGTCCTTCTTTAAACGTTTCTAAATCGTTTACTAAACCACATCACAACACTTCAGCTGAACACAAGCACTTCTGACATAAAGTGTGACCGACTTCTATTAATGCGACAGGACGTCGTCGTTCAGGAAGCTGCAGATGAAGTCAAACCCGAATCAGAGATGTTACGAGTAGTGTGTGTCTGACCTGATGCTTTCACGGTCTGCTTCTGGCAGAACGATCTCAGACGACCCTCGCTGGATGCCTCCAGGATGCCCTGCACATGACGGCCGATGGTCTCCTCCGCCGCCGCCGTCGTCTTCAGCACATCGATCAGCGCCTGACGCAGACGAGCGTTCGCCTGACGCAGCACATCCCTGCCAGAGAACCGAAAACACACAACTTACTGACCTGACCGCTGAGACACATCTGTCTGACTAAACTGGGCTTCATGAGTTGTTAAAAAGCTAAAAAGGAATTAAATCATAAAAATGTACAAAAAAAAAAAAAAAAAACACTTACTAAATCTTCTTAAATCATAAAAAAGTACAATTCAAATAAATACTTTAAAAATAAAAACAAATTAAAATAAAACTTAACTAAAAAAATAAAACATTTAAATAACAGTTGCAACGTATTATTACATCATAAAACGCAAAATTAAAATAATCTTAAAATAAAAACAAATAAAAATAAAAATGTACTAAAAATTAATTAAATAAAAATGTAAAACTAAAATATCTTTTAAAATAAAAACGAAACAAAATAAAATACTAAAAATAAAATTAAATCATAAAAATTTTAAATAAAAAAAAAAAATCAAAATAACACTTACTAAATCTTATTAAATCATAAAAAAGTACAATTAAAATAAATACTTTTAAAATAAAAACAAATTAAAATAAAACTTAAAAAAATTAATAATGAAAAAAAATGTAATAACAGTTGCAAAGTATTATTACATCATAAAACATAAAATTTAAATAATCTTAAAATAAAAACAAATCAAAATAAAATTTACTAAAAATTAAATAAAAATGTAAAACTAAAATATATTTTAAAATAAAAACGAAACAAAATAAAATACTAATAGTGAATTAAATCAGAAAAATGTCAAATAAGTACAAAATAAGTAAATAAATATTTTACGATAAAAACTAATTGAAATTAAACTTACTAAAAATAAAATTAAATCATAAAAATGTAAAATTAAAATAAATATTTTTAATGTAAAATAATGTAAAAAAATTTAAAACAGTTGCAAAGTATTATTACATCATAAAAAGTCAAATTAAAATAATCTTAAATAAAAATAAAACAAAATAAAATACTACTAATTATTTAAATCAGAATAAATTTAAAATAAGTAGAAAATAAGTAAATAAATATTTTTAAAAATAAAAAATCATAAGATCATAGATCTATCTATCCGTCTGTCTATCCGTCTGTCTGTCTGTCTGTCTGTCTATCGTTCTGTCTATCTATCTATCTATCTGTCTATCTCTGTCATTCTGTTTATCATGCTGTCATTCTATCTGTCTATCTATCTATCTGTCTATCTGTCTATCTGTCTGTCTATCGTTCTGTCTATCG